AAAAAAAGACTACAAACAAGATGGCTGCCTAATACAAAATGGTTGCTTCATACAACAAGACTACAAATCAAAATGGATGCATACAAAGACTACAAACAAGATGGCTGCCTAATACAAAATGGTCGCTTCATACAACAAGACTACAAATCAAAATGCATGCATATAAAAAAACTACAAACAAAATGTCTTCATGACAACAGAAGTATTCACAATGCTGTAACGATACAATCAGAGTTGTAAATTACATAAGATGTAAATTGATTATAGATTACTCGGATAGAAACAAACGCAAATATAGAAGAAATTACAGAGTATAAAGACATACACATTCAAAATAAAAAGCATTCAAAAGCGTAAAAGCACAGAGGTGTAAATTACATCAGATATAGAATGATTACTGAATATTTGGAATACAAACACATGCAAATATAGAAGAAATTACATAGTATACAGTCAGATAAATTCAAAAATAAAAAGCATGCAAAAGCGTAAAAGCACACAGGTGTAACTTACACCCGATATAGAATGATTAAAAAATATTCGAAATACAAACACAAGCAAATATAGTAGAAATTACAAAGTATTTGGAAACAATCAAAGCTATATAGCATTCGAATGTCACCAGACCAAAATGATGTTGGTTATAAAAGCACTATCTATCGATGTTGTAGACATCCATTAATCGCACACAGCAGATTAACAATCAGTGTTCTCTCTCTCAGTTGTGTTTGTAAAGCTTTGGGAACCGATGTGAAATTTTCAATCATTTGTGTTTGCAAGTCACGCAGACGAATCTCTATTGCTTGCTGTAAATTACCTCGAAGCTCATGAAACCTGGCATCCATGCGGTTATTAAAGTCAGTAAAGAAATCCGTTTGTCTGTTAAGCAGTTCGCCGAATAGAGAATCTTGCCTGTCAACCAGCTCGTGGAGCAAAGAGACAATTCTTTCATCTACACTATTGCTCTGCTCTGGCTGTGATTCAATGTCCACCTCGGACGCATCGCCACCAGCTGATGGTGTTTCCCCACCCCTCTGTGACGACTTTCCACTGTGATCACTTCTCCAACTGGCTCTCTCCCAGTCATTTATTTGTGTATCGGTCCACTTAGCTGTGTATCGGTCCAGTTAGCAGCATATTCCGCAATGCGGGACGATCTGTCTGAAAAGAATAGTAATTTAAATAATTAGTATATGAAAATCACAACAAATCTATTCATTTTTAAAATAACTGTTTGAATATAATATTATTTATCACTGCTTTAAAGATTTTCTTTGTTAAATAATAAAAGTATGAAAAATTATAATCTAAAAATAAATATGAAAAGCATACCTTGAATTATCTCAGGTTCGGTATCATCGGTTCGGTCAGGCTCTGATGATCTATCTGAATAGAATAAACAGAGGTTAAACATTGTCAAGACTTTAAAAACCACATGAATATTAAATAATTAGTAAATCTAAATTGGAATCTAGAAAATAATTAAGGGGAAATTATCTAATGAGATTATTGTTAGATAAATCAGAACAAAAATTGCAATAGCAAGACTGATCCAAAAGATGGCAACAAAGTAGCTTTACCAAAATAGATCGGTCAAAATAGAGCAGTCTTTAAAAAAAAATAAAAAAAATAAATAATAATAATAATAATAATAATAATACATAAAAATAATAATAATAAATAAAAATAATAATAAATTAATTAATTAAATAGAAATAGCAAGACTGCTCCACAAGATGGCGACAAATTTGTTTTACCAGCTAAAGCATATGTATTAAAAAATAAATAAATAAATAAATATATATATATATATATATAT